AAGAGCGGGGTTCAAGTTTTGCTTTTGTATAACCTTGGACAAACTATTTCAAATCTGGTTCAATGTCACCCTTAGAATTGTTTTGAGGATTAGATGAGGTAATATATATAGAGTGTTTGGTATGGAATCTACCACATAAGTACTCAATAATCACTGGATAAAATATTGTGAAACTGCTTTCCAAAAGGACACTGCCTGCTTCATTCGCTCCCTGAGATTATGCAGAAGTACTAGTTTTTCAACATAACTCCAGCATTGTGTGTTAAAATCTCATTTATTTTATGGATGAAATGAGATATTCTATGTTCTTTTAATTGTATTAGTTGATTACTAGGAAGTTAGAAATGTTTTTAGTGTTCTTGATTTAAAAATATTTTAAATTCTTCCTAAAAAATTCTTCTCCTTTTCAAAATGCCTTTAATCCATTATTAGTTTATAGACCAGACTACAATACTGAAGTCATCGTTATGGGGCAGGTTAAGCACTTCTACAGCATAGGACCCAATAAAGGAAGGAAATGTGTTTGTATTATTTCTGACTTGGCCAATAAGAGCAGTGAAATACAGTGTGCCCCATGGAGTAACTTTTTGTACTAGCCCAGCAACTGGTGTCTCTGAGTCTCTGGTCCACAGATGTTTCCTAAGTAGTCAAGTCTGTTCTGGTTGTGGGGGTGGGAGGGTGGTGCGGGCTGGAGGAGGTTCATTTGAGCGCTAGGACACAATCCTTTTCTGTCATTATCTAACTAATTAAACCAGTTAATCTGTAAAGTTCATGGTTAGTGCCTGGCTGACAGCTGGTGCTCCATTTATGCTATTAACAGAGCGGTGTGTGGCACAGCGTCTAAAAGTGGAGATCTTGTTAGTCATTATTGCAAACCCTGGTGTTAAAACCAGTTTGGCCAATTGACAAGACTCTTCCATTCTTTCTGTCCACCCGATCCTCTGGGCAAAGTTGTAATGTCACAGGGTCTGCCCAACTTGGGGCTGCGGTCTTCTCTGGTCCAGGCCATACTTTGTTTTCCTTTAACATATTTACGTATTTATTTATTCACTTCTTTTTTTTTTCCTAAGCCCATACTTGAGTCTTTTAGATCACAGTGTAATAGAAATATCTAAGCAGCAAGAGTGGGAGGCTAAGGGTTTCACAACCCTTTATCCCTTGCCAGTTGTGGCACTTAGATAGCATCTTGATGTCAGCACTGTTTTCCTGCCCTCTGCTCTAAGGAGGATGGTTTTTAAGCATTGGTAAATGTCCCGCCCCAGAGCCCATGGTGCTCTCTAAGACTGGGAAGTGGAAAACACCAGGGTGTTGCTTGCTGCCTACAACTCAATTCCCACAACACCCTAGGCTATAATTCTATCACCTAGGAGGCTAGAGGCTGTTTGTGGTCTTTGATACCTTCTGCATTTCTGGAATTGTGAGTCCAGGGCAAAATATAGTCATACTTCTTTGTACCTATCAGAGATAGAAAAGAGACAAGTATTTTGCTGGTCTATTTCTAACTTTGCCTTAAAAGAAATTGTGTTGAACTTCACTTATCTCTTTCCATTGCCTCATGTAGGTGGGTTACAAAGTTTATCCTAAGTTTATCCCTAATCTGTACAAACCAAAAATAGCAAGGAGCAAGCCGGGAGCCTCCCCACAGGACAGGGAGGCCAGGGCAGATGTGCAACAGGCACCGCCGTGGTGGGTCATCACTGGTTATGCTCAGCTGTTCCTGGGAGAAGGAAACTCACTTCACAGATGAGAACAGAGACTCAAGAGTGTACTTGCCCTGATCGCCCAGTGAGTAGGTGGCAGAAAGGGGCTTTCCATGCAAGGCTGTCTAGATCTGAAGCAGGCCCTCTCCCACTGCAGCTAGAGGGGTTCCTCTGGGACCAAAGAGCTCTCGTACTTCCTCCCTTTGCCCGTCTCTACAGGAGTGGGTAGCAGCACCTCCCAGTACTGGGGCCAGCCTTTGTGTCTCTTTTGGTATAGAACATAAATGTGCCTTTTGGGGGCAGAACCGAGCATGCACCTATTCCAACAGGCCCACAAGTATAAGGCATCACTAAAAGCTGGGTGTATCTGCAGTAATCTCCATGCCCTGAGTCAGATGCTGAGTCCGAGAACCCTTCGTGATCTGTCACTGCTAGCCAGGTTAGATCAAGTGGCTCCCTTGCTAGGAAGACTTCAAGGATAACCATGTCACTCACTGGCTGGCAGCCAAGCAACCTCAGCACAGCCTGGGTCAGAGGCAAACCAGCTCATTTCTATTCTTAGAAAAACCAGTCATGAATTTTAGTCCTGTTCACTTGGTAACCACACAAGGCTGGTGAGAATGTCTTTGTCCGAGGGGTGGACAAACCTCAGATTCCCATGATGAGAGATATTGGCCAACTTCTCAGCCATGGTAGGAGCCTCTGCCCCTGAAGGCCAAGGGTCTGGGAACTCCATCACGTATGGCTGAGGTTGGCCCTCTTAAAGACAGGCGATCCAGGGCTGACCCAGGCTTGACACTTAATTTGTTAGGTAACCACAGGCAAGTTGAGAATCTCTCTGGCTCTGCATTTCATCATTTAAAAAATGGGATGCATTGGCTTAGCTCATTTCTGTTGTCCCTTTCAGATCTTACATCTTTAAGATGTTTAATTTAAAGCATGCCTCAAATATTGATTTAAAAGAACAATAAATTGTACCCTATGATTTTGTTTTCCTCTGGGTTCATCATCTCTTAAATTTGCTCCCATAGGTAGTAGGAAAAAGAAATAATGAAACTCTATTTTTGAGAATGCTACTTTCTTAGATCACTGGGAGATTGTATCTGAAAAACCCTTCAATTATGTAAATTCTGTTTTGCTGAAATTCTGTTATCACTTATTTGTGTTTTACATTTTATTATGGAAAATTTGAAACATAGCGAAAGAATTATACAATGAACCCCCATGGACCTATCAACCAGCTTCAGCAATCATCCATATTTTGTCAATCATGTTCCATCTACCCCCCTGCCCCTAACCCATGCACACTTTTGGTGGAGGGGAGTGCAGTGCTGGAGTATTTTTAAGCAAATCTCAGACTTCAAATTTTACTATTAAATGCTTCAATTTGTGTTTCTAAAAGAGAAGGCCCTCCTTTTTGTAAAATACAACTTCAATGCCATTTTATACCCACCCGAATTAACGGTGAAGCAGGAGTTCTTTGGATTTTTAGTGAATTCAGGGTGGGAGGGGTACTGGGATGCAGGAGCTCTGGTCTGGATTTAACCCTTTTCCTCCAGAAACAATGATAGAATTCACTGAGCAGAATCTTGGAGCTTCAGCTGGCCCTTTCCCCCCACCCCCTTGCAATACTTTCAGAAAGCAAATATGGGAAAGACTTGCCTATCCAGAGCATGTATATAACTAACATACTGAGCACCTACTGTATACAGCTCCATACACATCACCTCCTTTCACTACCACACCAAAGCTGAGAATAGAAACCAAGCCTCTGGAAGGAGCTTCCCCAATGTTACCTTCTGATTGGTCAACATTAGAATATCACAGTGTGACCATGACCCCATGCTGAATAGGTGAAAGGGTGTGAAGTCCCTATGCGGTCTGAGAAAGATTCTCACATAGTGATAGGGTATACAGAAGTAAAAGTTTATTTCTCCAAGAAAGAAAAAGAGAGAGAGAGAGAGAAAAGGGAGGGAGTGGTCATGGCACACAGAGGAAGGAGTGAAAATGTCAGGCACTAAGGGAAAGTTGTTTGGAGTTTTAAAGCGTAAAAATGGCTTTTTTTTTTTTTTTCTGTTTTAACAGACTAATAACAGAAGCAGCAGCAAAACTGTTGTAGGTATTCTTTCTGGCTTGTCTGAGTCCTTGGAATTTGGTTTTTGGCAGGAACTGAGGCAGAGAGTTGGAGCGGGGAATTTGCACCTCTACTATCTGCTTAGGGCTCTTTAAGGCTAAAGAAAAAATGAAGTCTAGTTAGACCACAAGTGTTTTAATTAAAAAAAAAAAGGAGGTAGTTGTGTTATAAGTTTTTTTTTTTCCAAAGGAGCAATTATATGTTGTAAGTTTATTATTTATATTATTTATATTCTGTTTGTTTTCCTCCATTAGGTTATTAGTAAGACCACCTTTCAATAGGAAATTCCCATTTAGCATCAGCACACAGGCTGTTTGGTTTGTATCTTAAGCTAACCACATGTTTTACTTCCATAGAAATAATAAGCAGTTTATTCTTTAAGATTCCCTGAGAAATGGATAAATAAGGATAATATCTTAAGCAGAGAAAGCATGAAAATGCCCTCCTTTCCCCAGCCCAGGCTAAAGGATTCTACGCAGTCTTCCCCTCTCTCATCCCCTTTCCCCACATGGATATAAATACAAATCACAGGGCTTATTGTCACTTCTTAGGGTTAGAGGACATTTGTAGGTTTGTGCTTGAAAAGTTTGAATTTTTGGCTTGGAAACCTATAACCTTTTACTCAGTAAGGGGAATCTTTAAATAGAAAAATGGAGAATTGCCTCCTTAAATGTGTTTGGCAGTGGGAAGAGGCCCCTTAAAGTATTCTGGAAGGGAAAAAAACGGTATGCAGACAAGGAAGGAGGCAAAAAGGAAGTAAGGGAGATAGGAAACAAAAATCAAAGAGCCCTAGTAAATCCCAGATTGATTTTATGACCCATTGTGAGAGAAGCTCTGGTGACTTAGGCTGTTTGTGTTTAAAATGTCCTTCTGCAGACCCAAAGGAGTAGGCAAATACTTGCCTTGGTAATGAAACCATCTGGCAGGTTTTCTGTCCCTCCCAAAACCTTGGGAAGGGCTCTAGAAATGTGTTCGTTCCCATGTTCATATGTAGAAGCTTCAAACCACACAGACCCTGATACAGCCCTGCATCTCAAAGAGAATGTGCCCACAACCATATCTTGATAAGTCCCAGATTTCCCTACTAGTCAAACCTTCCTTTTTTATTTTTAATTTCTTTTTGTAATTTGTAAGTATTTAACCTAATTTGTATTTCATTTGTACAGATGAAATTATGCAGCAGGAAGTCAGGCCGTTGGTGGCAGTGGATATAATAGAACAACTTCACAGACAATTTGCCATTCTTTCAGGTAAGGAGCAAATTCATTTGCGTTTCCAGATTTTGATGGGAGGGGGTCCTGTTGGGAGGGCCCAGCCTCTCGAACCTTGAGGAATAATTTACTGAAGTCTTAGTCACCCCCAAGCTTCAGCCTCACCCAGGACTAGAATGGACTGAGGCCTATCCTGCCGGAGGGGGCGGGATCTCATAGATGTTGCTCCTTTTGTAGTTCAGTGCAATCTGATCTTTCCCGAGGAGTACACTTCTTTGAGGTTGTAAAGAATAGAGCTGAAAAGATTTTGAGAAAGGAAAAAGAAATAACTACTGACATCAGCTGCCACCATGATGTTCTTCCAATGTTCTCGTTAGTTCTAAAAAGATTCAACCTTAAGAGAGTCTTGGTTTTAAGGGTTCATGAGTGTTGCTGAGGTTATTTGTTTTCTGAGAGACTTGTCTTTTATTCTTAGCTGTTTTAAGAAGAATTTGGTCAAGCATTTGATTGGGAATAAAGAGAAGCTGCTATTAATAAAAGGCTAGAAATGTTTTGAGCTAGGCACAACCTTGAAAAGCTATCATGACTTGAATACTATTCTTTCTTATTCACTTAGCCAAGGGTGACATGACTTTAATTACTAAAACTGGGGGTATATGCAAACCCTAAAATGTACTTAGACCAAATTTGGAAGCATGGAATAGTGACATTAGATATCCTAGTATATATCACAGAGGAATAAAGAGCCAAGTCATTCTCTTCAGCTTTTACATCTGTTCTGAAAAAAACAACAAAGGCATCTTAGTTACATTACATCTAGAATATGCAGTTATTACGGATTTTTCTCTACAACATAGGGTATAAAAAGTCACATTTCTTTCCTTTCTTTAAACCATATTTAATCTGCTCCAAACTTCTCATCCCACTGATGTGAGGGAGGTGCCATCTCAGTTGTTATTGGGATACCTCTCCGCATGTCAGCATTGCATCCTGGGTGGGCACATCTTACACAATCCAGAACTTCTCGGGAAATTGTCTAGTCTTTTCTCCATGTTAGTCACACCTCATATAGTCACTGAAAGTTATATAAATTCAGGGTCCTCATTTTTCTTATTTCTATCTGTATTGCCAGTGCTTAGATCAGAAACTGGAACATAAAAGGTGCTCAGTACAAAGTTATCAGAGTCTTCGTGGTCTATCCTGTGAGGCCGGTGGACTCACTGCTCCGTGCATGCCTAGGTGGGCATCACAGTCTTGGTCCTGGGGGAGCACCTAGCCGGCCTCCTAAAGGTGCTGTCTCGTAGCCTCCTACAGTGAGTCTAGGCTTGTGCAAGACAAAAGACAGGATGGGGTCTGCCCTCTGCGTTCCTGGAAACTGCTGCTGTGACCCCACAACACAGAAGGTCCCAAGGTGCGTCAAGGTCTGGAATGATGGGGTGTGGTGCGGTGGATTCCTATAGCCTTAAACCAAAACTCTAATGCTTCAATATGTGATTCTGGTGTATATAATTACACAAGGGCTCATCTCGGGAAGGAGTCTAGTAACTGATTAATTCATACTTTTAATGATCTAAATTTATCTCTTTTGAGTACTATTGGGGCATTTCTTTCTAATCTTATGACTTAGAGGCAATATAGGAAAAACATAAAATGGTACCAGACAGCTCTGGATATGGATTTGGATTCTGTACCTGCTAGAAGTATCACCCTGGGCAATTTCTCTAAGTCACAGTTTCCTTATTTGTTTAATAGAGTCATCGTAACCTTGAGGATTAAATGACCGAATGTATAAAAAATGCTTAGTATCACAACTGCTAAATGTCTTTTTTTTCTGACATATTTTAAATTCCCATACAAATGTTTATTTTAGGGTTCTATTACAAAAAATATTTTTCAGTATGTTACAGTTTTTATAAGGAACCCAAGTCATGCTCACAGTGAATGTGATCTACAATGCCACCCTTAAGTCAGGAATAGAGATGGTTGTCACTCCTTGGCGTAGAACACAGAACTGTGAAAACTCACACAGGACCAAGTGGACACTTCTGCTTTAGAAAAGCACTTTGTGATAAATATAACCCTTCATTTCTGAGTTTCTTTTGTCATTTAAATTTGCCTTTCTTATGGGAGAAAAGCATGGATTCACTGCAATGGTGCTTACGACATTGCAAGTCTGGAAGAATATCGGTAGCCAAGTCTGGAAGAATATCAGCAGCCACGGGTTTCTCTGAGTCAACACTGTCTGGAATCGGCAGGCCTGCTTCTCATCTTTAACCATCCCTCTTCTGGCAGAAGCAGCAAATGTCAGCAAAAGGCTGTTGTGGGTGCCTGTATAGTTGTGATTGTAAAACAGAAATCATGGCGGTTAGGTGTTTTCCCACAGCTGTGGCAGCTGCTCCGGCTCACAGCAGTTTTCCTTTTCCCGATTCAGCCAAGCAAAATGCAGATATTCCACCTACAGACTTTTCTGCAGATTCCACTAAACTCTGGAAAGACCCAGAGGTCCTGTCAACCAGGACAGCTATGAAGGAGAAGATAGAGCCTTTTTCTCAATGAAGCCCTAGTTGCCTGGTCAGCTGAGCTCTGTGCATGTGCTCCCAAGGCTGGTAGGAGGACAGGGGATCATTGCATGAAGCCTGACCCAAAGCTGTGGTCAGATGGTTGGAAGCCTTTGATAGTGAAGCCTGTGAGCAGGGCCACCAGCAGGAATTGGATAGTGACCAGGACTGGGGCCTCTGGTGGCTCTGACCTTGGAAGACACTATACGTGTTCACAGTGAACTTGGGATATTTCTAATTTTAGGGCTTAGCTAGGAAACGAGAGAATATGAATAGGTTAGTGTGGTGGAAACAAAGGAACAATGCTGGCATCTTTCCCAGAAACTCTTGGCTGACTTCTGCTTATGTCTCATTCCAGAACCATGCCATACAACCATTCCTAGCAGCGAGCAAATCTGAGAAGGCAAGCATGTAGCATTCTAACTTCCATAGTGGAAGGTGCTCAGGCAGTCAGGGAAAGGGGCGTTGGGAATGAATTAGCCATTTATCAGTGTCTGCCCTAACTCTTTTCCTTTAATTGTGAGGAATTGTCCTTTTATATTTCCTTTAATGGTTATCTCCCCTTTGGAATCACTGTGTCTGAATCTCTCTCTCTCCCTCTCTTCTTCCTCCTTCCACCATATCTATCTATTTCTCTCTCTCCCTCCCCCCATATTAATTTTAATCTTTTGAAAGCAATTGATAGTGAAGGAATAAAATACTCTTAGGCTTGTTGAGTCCCCAGCGTTTCCACCCATACATAGACTCCTAAGGGGTTGGTGGCGGGTGGAGCTCCCAGAGGGCAAGTGGGAAGAGTGGGAAGCTCCCACTGGAAATGATGGAGAATTTCAAACCAAGAAAGTTATCAGAGTCAAAACTCCTATCTAGCTCAGATATGGAGCTAGTGACTTGGAACCTGGGAAGTGAGAACCGACGCAAGAGGTCCAGAGCAGGGCTGTTTAATAGCCAGTGTGACACGCATGTAAATTTTGTAGCAACCATATTAAAAAGGTAAAAAGAACCAGATGAAATTAATTTTAATAATAGATTTATTTACCTATTATATATAAACTAGTATTCCAACATGTAACCAATATTCAAAATTATTAATGAGATTTTACATTCTTTTTTCGTATCAATTCTTTGAAATCTAGTTTGTATTTTATACTTACAGCACATCTCAGTTTGGACTGGTACCGTTTCAAGCGCTCAATAGCCACATGTATCTAGTGACTAATGCATTGAGTAGTGCAGGCAAAAGAAATGGTTCTCAAATATGTTGGATTGAATATCTCCTTTTTATAACAAATGATTTATATTGCCCTCCACTCTCCTGAAATGAAATTTATAGCTACTGTAACCTCTATCAGGTAGGGCAGGCTAAATGGCTATAATAAATAGACTCCAAAGTGTAGAGTGGCTCAAACAAACACAGTGGAAATTTAGTTCCTCCTCTTGTCCTGGTTCAGTGTATGTGTTCCTGGTAAGCAGACAACTTCTCTTCAAGTGGAGGCACAGAAGTGAAGCCTCCTTCCCTTCACTTCAATGAAGGCTCTTATTACTATTATCCATTTTGCAGCCTTCTTCTAATCTGCATCCAGAGAGCAGACAGGCTAAGAGAACATGGAAGGAGCATAGTGCTTCTCAAAATTCTCAGCCCAGAGACAGCATACACCGCATTCCATTGACTTCATGCCAGCCAACACCCACGGCCGTGGCAGGAATCATCTTTTGCACCCCAAGTACTTAGTGTTTTCTGAAGTAAACCTAATTCTCTCTCATTTGATGAAAAGATAAAAAAATAATACTAGGAGAAGTAAGGTTTATTTTTTTTAAGTTACCATTTTACTTAGTACCAAATAGTTTGGGTTTTTTTGATCTTCCTTGAAAAGGACTTTGGAACAATAATGCCTTCTTCCTCCTGCATTACCACATTTCCTCAGCAGGTGGCACTAGATGCCTTGTTGTGAGTTGTCAATAGTTGTCTGTAAGCCCCGCTTGGTTTCCTTGATGCTTCTGCCTCTTAAAAGTAATATTCAACAGCAGGTGGGTGCCCACAGTTAACCTTGGGTCTACTCTGGTGTTCAGTATTGATTGTAACCAAGATAGAAAAAAACTTCACTTACCTTTCTCCATTTAGGTGGGAATAACTTTGGTAAACTATAAAAGGTAGTTTAAAAGTTTAAATGGTAATTAAATGGGATAATAACATCCTAATGAATATTTTAGGGTGTTTTGGTTCCTTGAAATGTTTTAGCAATTTCTTCATCAAATGTTGGTTATACAATTAGTATAGTGTTATAAAGCCTAAATTTAGACTTACTAGAGATACAAATTCTCTTAATTCATGTTTCTCTGAAACTTTCTGTAGTTGTAAAACTGCAAAGGGGAAGAATATTAGAGGAAAGCTGATAATATCCTCATCAGTCACCATAATGAGGTAGCTCAATATCCTCGTCAAAACTTGACAAACATCTAATCCCGTGGGTATCTTTTTGGAAATTTAAAATAAACACACAGGATTAATAAAGAGGCACTTCTTGGAGAAGGATGACTGACCATCCAAATCTCCCATGGTTTCGTTACATAGTGGTTGGTCTCTGGCAGCTTAAGACCCACATTAACAACGCTTGCAAGAGACGCAATGCTAACTTACTCTTTGCATATAAAAATACTCGTGTTTTCTTGATAGCACATTCTTTCTCTTAAAAGAAATTGACTTGGAAAGTCGGATTGTAAGCAGAAGGTATTTATCAGGCATGGAGTCAGCACAGGAGGGCTGGCTGGATGATCTTAATGGTGGTGGTATCAGATAGACTGGCCACACATTGAATTCTGGTGGGCCAGGATGCTCTCCTTAGGATAGCATTGGTGGTACCCTGCCCATTTCTGCTTCTCTGAGTTTCTCTTTTCTGTTTCTTCACTGAGCACACGTCCTCGCTGGTCATACAATCCTCATTAACCCTCACCCCACACTGATACGTCTTTCTTAGACCTGTTAGATACACGCAATCATTTGTACTTGGCTTTGACTTGGGAGCCATTACTCCTCTTAAAGTGGTTTCCCTTCAAGGGCATAACCTGGCAGGTGCATGCAGCTTCAGCACACATCCCATTGGCTCAGGCAGAGGTTCCCAAACTTTCCCAGTTCTCAGTGCCTTGGTATCTCAGTCATTTTTCATGGTGTGCCTAGGTCAAAAGCAATAACTGATGGTTAAAATAACTTAGTAAGTATATATGTCCTAACAACAACTACTAGCAACTTAGTAGCTGTTTGAAAAAATAATGTGTATAAACTAAAATATTATTTTTTCTTTCAATTTTATTCTTAAATAACCACAATTATCACAAACCTTGGAATCAGATTAGATATCACCACCCTCATTTCTTGTTCCACACTAATTTTCAAACTGTATTTGCTTTTTATCCCAGTAACCACCAAAAACCCAGTTTTACAAGATGCAGTGCCATCAAAAAGAATATAGTGCGATTTAGTATTAAAATTATGAACCACCTCAAGCCAGTAGCATGCATGGTATCTGTCAGATGTCAACTATCACGGTGTGTCCCTCAAAAATTTAAAATATTAATAGTGTTCCTGTGAGTTCACTGTGGTTCCCTGGGTACCTGCCACACTGTTTGGGAACTTAAGTCATATGGCTACATGTAACTGTAAGGAGACTGGGAAATATAATCTATTTAATTTAATCTGCTGGCCTCTGCCTTAATGAATTAAGTATTTTTAAATTTTTATTCCCATTGTGATATCTTATGTTCCTGTTTATAAGTTCTTGAAGGGAGGCTGATTATTGTCTCCTTGTAATAATAATAATAATTATAATAATGAAAACCATTTATTGAGAAGTTATATACAATGAGCACCCTGCTAACATGCTTTTCATTTGTGTTCTCACTTAATCCTCATAATTTCTTTTGAGGTAGGGACAAGTATTATTTTTATTATATATATATAATGGGAGGAAATACATGGCATCCCAAAAGTTGCCATACATAGGGAAGATGTGAAATTGTAGCTAAATGTACCTTTATTTACAAAATATTCATTACAAAATTTTTCCTTTGTATGGAGACTTTTGGGACACCGCACGCGCGCACGCGCGCGCGTGTGTGTGTGTGTGTGTGTGTGTGTGTATGAGGAAAATTCTATTTAGGTTAAGTATCTTGGCCAAGATCATATAGCAATTAAGTGGCAAAGCAGAATTTGAACCAGGCCGTCTGATTTTAGAGTTAACTCTCTTAAGTGATACTACCTTTGATATTTACTAACTACAAAAATGAAGAGCAATATTACATATTTGTGTTGGCATTACTTACTATTCTACCTATGCTAAATAATTAAATCAATGTTACCTTTTATACAGTGACTGTCTTCAAAGGATTCAAAATTTGAATTCTTACAATACTATTGACCAAGCATGAAGGAGAAGAGAGACTTGTCCAAAATAGTTCAGTGTTAACTCCTCCCAAATTCTAGTCTGAGATAGAAAAAGAGGAGGCCCAAATATTCCATCTCCCAGCTTAATCTCAGTCAGAGCCCCCCCTGCGGAGTCGTAACATGACAGCATTTTGCAAACGTTGTGACGGCCCATTTTTATTGCAGGAGGCCGAGGGGAGGATGGTGCCCCCATCATCACTTTTCCAGAGTTTGCGGGGTTCAAACACATCCCAGAAGAGGACTTCCTGAACGTCATGACCTACCTGACTAGCATCCCCAGGTGAGCGGAGCACGATGTTCTGCTGCCTTCTTAGTTACTGGCTTTATTCCACATTTGTCATGTAGCAGAGCTAGGTCGAGATGGAATCTTCCATGAGCACAGTTCACCCTGGTATGTAACTCAGCCGGTTTCCCTCATTTATCAGTCCCGAATGAGGGATGTAGAAAGAGACTAGGAAACGATGATAAACAAGTATCAGTTTGACTGTGTCGACATAGCAGGTACTTAATAAGCATTGTTGAGTGAATGGAAAACTTACTGAACAGCTGGTGTTGCCTTTGTTCCTTCAGGTTCATGGCTGTAGCTTAAGGTTGTTCCTGCTTCCTGGTCAAATTGTCGGGACACACATGACTGTTCCTCAAGGAGCTCAAACTTGTCAGGAATTATTTAATTTATCTTTCCTAAATGTGGAAATTAGGGGCGGATTTTATAATTGTCACAATCAAATGGAGAAACAAAGGCATAGAGCAAGGAAACTGCAAGGCCAGGGATAAAAACTGTGCTCGTAGCCATGCCCATGACAGAAACGCTTTCTGACATCTGCTGACTCCACCCTCTTTAGCCCAGGTCTCACATCTTTATGCCACATAAGTCAATACTCAGGTCTCCCAGGGGTGGAGTGTGGGACAGAGTTCACATTGATCGCTACCATTTCACAGAGACAGAGCTGGGAATGGGGTCCAAACCCTGATTCTTAGAAATGCTTATAATGTATCCACTCTCCAACACAGCAGAGTTGGCCAGGAAAGGCCTCCCTTCCCCTCCAAGGTTATATTGTTTATGACATTCCTTCCTTAACTACTGTGTGTTTAAGAATTTACACAACAGCCAGGTATGTGTTCTTTTGCTGCTTTCCATCTGCTGCATATGATTTAGAGATAAACACCAGCTTTGTGATTGAAAGGCCACCTGGAGTCTGAGCCCACTTGTCCACCTGTGGAGATTAGCAAATTGATTTCTTCAACGAAACCTTTTGAAAAGTGTTTTTTGTTTTGTTTTGTTTCTTCTTTTACCTGTTGTCTTCAGAGAAGGCTATGGATTCATTTTTAATGCATTTCTTCAAAGTTCAGTCCTTAAATTATATTTCATTAATTTCCCCCTATCTTCTTTTCCCCCCACCATCTGATGTGCGTTACTGAATTTGGGGGAATCCTTTGTCGCTTTGAGGGAAAGATGCTATAGCCATCTCTGGGCTTTGCTCATGTGGTTCTCTGCAGGAATGTCTCTCACCCTTCTGGGCTGAACTCTTGCACATTCATCAGCCCTCATCTCTGACCTCATCTCTTCGAGGAAACCTTCTCTGACCCCGGTTCTGCTTTCACAGACTCTTTTCTTTTTTTTTTTTTTTTTTTTTTGAGACAGAGTCTTGCTTTGTTGCCCTGGCTAGAGTGAGTGCCATGACGTCAACCTAGCTCACAGCAACCTCAAATTCCTGGGCTCAAGCAATCCTTCTGCCTCAGCCTCCTGAGTAGCTGGGACTACAGGCATGCGCCACCATGCCCGGCTAATTTTTATATATATTTTTAGTTGTCCAGATAATTTCTTTCTATTTTTTAGTAGAGATGGGGTCTCGCTCTTGCTCAGGCTGGTCTCGAACTCCTGAGTTCAAACAATCCGCCCACCTCTGCCTCCCTGAGAGCTAGGATTACAGGTGTGAGCCACCACGCCCGGCCCAGACTCTTTTCTTTATTTCCACAGAGTCCTAAACTTCCCTCTTGTATAATACCATAGCATATGGAAATTATTTCTGCCTCTCCCATTAGATTGACCTTCTCTAGAGTAGGGACCAATGTTTTTTTTCCCTCTTCTTTTTTCTTTCTTTTTTTTATATCTCCAATCCTAGCACAGTGTCCAGCACATGGTCAATTCCCAGAAATAATGTTGGTAGAGTTTCCAGTTTTGATAATGATTCATTTTAAACAAATGGTGTTTGCCGTAAGGTAATGAAGGGGTTAAAATATGCTATTCTGGCATATTGATTATTTAAGTTAAAGACACTTGAAAAACAGCAGGTTCAAGAAGATCACTTTGACTTTTGTGCTGTTTCTTAAGAGCAGAAGATGAAATTCCCATGTGAAAGACACCGTCCGTGTCCTAGAAAGAAAGGTAACGTCCTTATCTTCAATGAGAAGTTGAAGCTGGGAGGATACTGTATAGACCTCGTTAGAATAACTCTTATCTTTTAAGCCTGTCTCATAATTTAGTCACATTTTCAGAGTCTACCATTCCTTGTTCAATCCAATGTGTTAGTAACTGGCTCTAACTGCTTCTTTGGGTCTTCATTTCTTTATGAGGGCTCTTGCGTCACATGAAACATTAGTAAATGGTACGTTTTTCTCCTGTTAATCTATGTTATGTCAATTTAATTTTTGGACCCAGAGGGACCCTAAGAGGATGGGGGTGGAGTTCTTCCACCCCTACAGTGAGAAGGGGGACACTGACAGAGGGGACCCTCCACTCCTCACTTCTGCCTTTACCTCCCTGAGTTTTAGGAAGTTGAACTTAACCTCCCTCTTGGGCCTACTCCATTTCAGGACAATGACCCATCAGTTCAGCAACTTCTTCTGTTCTAGCAGCAAGGAAGATGAAGAGGGAGGTAGACAGTTGGGGGAAGGGTCTCTGCCATTCTCTTTATATTTGTTTTAAGCTCACTGTCTAATTTTACTTAATCCACAGGGATGCAGTCAAGTGCTAAATTCAATAGGTGATTTCCTCTTGTATTTGCAGGCTTTTCTGAATCCCACTGAGGACAGCACATTGAACACCATCTGAACCAGTGTAGAGAGAAGCAGGGAGTGTTATAACCCCCATGTCACAGATGTAGAAGAGAAGAGAGAACAGGGAACTGCTATTTTGGCCTTATTTCTTTTTGTACTTTATGTTCCTGGCACATTTTCTTGTAAACTGTGAAGTATTTTCCTTTCCTAGAATGCTGTTTGTCTCTTAAGAAAGAGTAGCTGTCAACCAGTTATTCCCCTTTCTTCTTCCTGGGTTTTGCTCACACTTACTTGCTGCTCTGCCCTTCATTCCTTTCAACATACAGCAGAGACAAAAGGTAAGGCCTGAAAGGGGAATTTGACCTGAACCTTGACTTCTAGTTTCTATCTGGTTATGAAGAATGAAGCCACCCTTGTTTGTTTTTTGACTCCCATTTACCACACTTTGCATCTTCCTGGATGCTACTGGTCGTCAGGCACTAGAGCCCTTCCCAGGTTGCAGAATGTTTTATAGGCAGTTGGCTGAGGGCTCATGGCATAGAAGAAGAAAGAATTGATGTAATAGAATAGACAAAAATGGCAGGGTACTCAGGGTAGGGAAAGGATACTGTGCCTGAAATTAATAAGCATCTCCCATTGTGGCCAGGTTGGGTGAGTAGAGGAAGGCTTCCCACAGCAACGCCTCCTTCACCAGACCTGGGCTGAGAGCCAGCAGTGTGTAGGGTGCTGTGTGAGGTGCCACAAAGGACGGAAAAGGCTACAAGACCATTCCTCAAATGGAGGACACTCATCACGTAACTCTTGTCACGATGTTTTGTGAAATGTGCAAATAAAGGGCTATATGAGCTCAAAAGACAGAAAAGCCACTTCAGACAGGAAAAACAGGGAAGGGGTCAGGAATGAAATGGTCTTGAAGGATGGAACAGTTTCCACAGTAGATATAGAGGGGGCATTCCAGAGAGAGAACAGGATGGGGTTTAACAGCTTTGGACACAGCCTAAACCTGGATTGAAATCCAGATCCTGCTGCTCACTAGCTATGTGACCAAGGGGAAATTACTTGGCTTCTGTTTCTATTTAACATGGGGTTTGAAGTTTTAGACAGAGCATGTTTGGGGAATTACAGACCGTTCAGGTTGACCAGAACAGAGCGAGGCTTCTTTTCAAAAACAGTAGGAAGAAAAGCTTCAGAGCCTTCAGGGAAAGACAGCTGGAGAGAGACTGGGCAAGGCCTATACCACCAAGCTAAGGAGTGTAGGCAGAGTGAGCAGGAAGAGGCCATGGGAGGCTGCGAGGAGGAGAGTGAGGGGCAGATGAATCGGTGGTGGTCTGCAGGGTGCATCAGAGGGAGCAGGAAGAGGAGGCAGGAAGACCAATCAGGGGCTTCTAACAGGGATAGGTGCAGAGTGAAGAGGGATGAGGGCATGAGGGCTGGCTAGCAAGGGGTAGACGGGAGGACAGGCACTGGGAGAGGGTAGCTAATGAAAACATTTGGCTTTGGGAATCTTACAACTGCATCTTGGTACTCTTACATGTCTGGGTTTATGGGATTCAGGACTCATTTTGGTTTTGATGGTCTCACCTTGTTTTATTTCACTCCTTTTTCTGGCTCTTCCTTATCAAATCATGCTAGCACAGTGGTTCTCACCCTTGACTGCATGTTAGGATTGCCTGGGGAGTTTTTAAAACTCCTAATGCCCAGACCATAATTCAGACCAATTAAACCAGGACTTCTGGGGGTGGGACCTGGGCTTCAGTGGTGTGTGAAGCCCACGTGCAGCCAAGGGTGAGAATCACTGCGTAAGGAGCAGCAGGGGAGAGGCTGCGGTGAAACCGAATGGAACAGGCATGTGAGAGGGATGAGGAAGAAAACCTAGAATCAGTTTTAGCTTTTGAGTAAAGTGAGGTGGTGGGGAATGTGTGGAATTTGAGAGAGTGAGGGAGGGCTGTTCCCACATCTTTTACTTTTGCCTTCACAGTTCTATATTTCTCTTTAAATGCAGTACATACAAAAAATGCAATTTCCTAAGCCTCCTTGACCCTGAGATTTCTTTGTGAATTATTTGCAGTACTGTACATAATAAGGACCTATTGAATTAAGAATGTTCCCACATAGATCTCATGGTGTTAAAATAAATAAATATAAAACACACACACGCACACACACACATACATCATTACCACATCACCATTATGTTTCCCAAAACAACTGAGGGTGGATTTTAGCCTATCAGGTACCATCTGCTCTATAAATTATACTAAAAGTTTTCATAGTCCAGCTTAT